ATCACAAAAACTTAAAAACTTTTTAAAAATTTGCCTCGAGAACATCTCCCAAAGAACTGAGGACCTTTAAAACCCGACGTTCAAAGGGGGCCCCTCACGCCCAAAAAAATTTAAGAAGGTTAAGACTACTCATCAAAAAATTACTAAGGGGACACATTTCTGAAAAAAACGGATAACAACAGAAACTAAAAATCAACACAGGACCGGAGGGGGGCACATATAAACAGAACAAGGACAAAAACACCTTTGTCGTACAGAAATGACAATACAAAAAAAACAAAAAGGGTCCAATTTAGGACGAAAAAACAAGGCATCAGAGTTTATCCTGAACCAAATATCAAATTTACTAAAGAAAAAATACAGGAAAATCTCAAATATTTGTTATGTATTTAGAGAAAAACACATGCGCAATTTCTAAGAACTAAACCAATAGTAAAAGACGAAAAAATTAACATTATAATTATATTTTAAAAAAACCCATAACAAAAAAAATAGCACACTTCCTTTAAAACCCCCTAAAAACATTTTACTGCCTTAGCTAGGCTTCCCCTAACAAGCTAAACGGGGAAAGAAAATTGGGGTTTTCCCCCTTTTGAATAATATGAGACCTAAGTATTTTTTTTTTTAGGAATTTTAATCCTCTAACGCAATTAAAAAAAACCCAATAACGGGCCCTTTAAATGCAGTGATAAAAATTTAGCATGTAAATTACTTTTTGGGGGGAAAAGTTTTTGAAAAAAATGCAAACATTTTTCTAATGATAATTATTTTTTTAAAAAAAGGGGTAAAAGTTACGCTTTATTTTGCTTTGGTACATAAGAGAAAAAAAGGGGAAGGGGGGGAATAAATAAAATTGAACACAGACAGATCCAAACAAGACAAGGAAACAGGAAAAAGGGTTCTCAAGACTCAAAACTTTCGTCTTCCCTTTAAGATTAAAACGCAACACTTGTTGTGGGAAGAGAGTTACAAAAAAGGGGTGGGGTGGCGATGTAAAGTTTGTTCCGGGAGGGCCCGGTTTAAGGGATCGTACTTACCCCTGGGGGCTTTTGACGTTTTTTAAAGGGGGCCCACTTTCCCGAGCGAGGGGCCCCGGGGGGACCAGCCGGGTCCGTACATCGGGGCCCCTCAGGGGGGTTTCCCCGGGGGGGGGTCCCCCCCTTTGGCTCCGGGGTTTTTCTTTTTTATTCTGGGGAATGTAGAAAAAATCAGGGGGAGATAAATAAATATGTAGTGAGTTTAAAATAAAAAAAGGGGAAGGAAAAATATAAGACACAATTCCTTTGGACTCGGAACTTTTTCACACAATTTTAAAGAATTGGGGGTTGAAAAATTTTTTGGGGCAACCCCATTGTTCTTTTTCTAAAGTTTTCAGGTGTTTTTTAAAAACCCCCCCCCCCCCAACAATCTTATGCTACCATAAATAGGGGGAAATTTTAAATGTTTGTCTTTACTTGAAGGAAGACAAAACAAATATAAAACGATTCTATGAGTCTACATCGGGCCTCCCCCTTTGCACCAGCCCCCAAGTACGAGGCAAGCATTGCCCCCCCAAACCGTAACAGCCGGGTTAAAAAGGGCCCTATAAACAAGCTGTTACCTCGGGGAACCAAACTTCGGGTAGAAGCCCTCTTAACAAAATTTCCCCAACCACCACCGGGCCCTCACTTTACAACTACCATTTGCTATAAATAAGGTTTTGGAGACTCCAATACCCTTTTTTCCTCCCAATATGGTTTTCGCAAGGGCCGCTCTTTTTTTGGCCCCCCTTGCCCATTTTGGGAATGTATGTGTGAAATGCCTTTGCTAACAAATACCTGCCTACCCGTTTTTTTTTTGATCTTGAAAAGGGCCCAAATGACCCCACCTGGGGGTATAAAAATTTTAGCCCAAGCACACTTTTTAGGCCTCCGTGGTAACTCCCAACTTGTGGCCTCCCCTTATGTGGATACTTCGCTATAGCTTACGTAGGTGCTGGCTGTCTCTGGCAGGGGCCTTCTTTCAGGATGGGGAATTGACCGGGTTTTCCAACTAAACCCCTTCTCATGGATTTTTTTTTCAAGTACAAAACCCATTTCTTTAACCTTCACTAGAGTTTTCTTTTTCCAAAAAAATTCCATTGATTTACAGGGCCCTCATTTTAATTCCAGAATGTGCCCCCGTCAAGTTTCTTGACCTTCTCTTTAAACCCCGGGTTGACATGGAAACCTCACATTTTTCTTTGAAGGGAGTGCCATTTTCGGGTTTAACCTCCTTAAAATTCTTGTGCAAAAATTTTATGGGGAGCAGATCGCCGGAATCTCCGTTTTCATAACACCCTAGTTTGTCCAAAAAGGGGGTTTTTAAGGAGACTGTTACAAAAAAAGCGATAACTAATAAGCAAAAGAGATTCCAGGAATACTAAAAAGAATGCCCTCTAGCATCCAGCCTGTTACTGGGTTTTTGGGAACCAAATAGTCGGATCCTGGCCAATTTCCATTGAAAATTTTGAGGGTTCAATAGTGCTTCAGGATTAAAACTGGAAAGCTACTAACCCCAAAAAAATTAAAATTTTAAAAATTTAAATTAAAAAGCAAAAATTGTTAGGCCCTATATTATCAAAGTAAATTTTAAATTTTCAATTGAATATAAAAAAGGACAAAAAAGTTTTCCCACACTTCCTCGGTACAGTAAATATGGTACTGAAAAACACATATCCAAACTTCCCGGCCCCTTTTTAAATTTCCGTCTGGTACAAGGTTTGTATTTAAAAACTTTAAAACAAAAATATCAATAAGTTTGTGTGTAAGTGGTAAATGCTCCCATGTAGTTCGCTATGTTCTCAAGACCGACTAGACTTAACCTGACGACCAAAATCCTCCCCATTAACTAAATTTTGACCAACCCCCGGGAATCAGAAACGCTTGCTTGGGAAAAATTTAAAAAGGGCTGATAAGCCGAACAACAATATAACAAGCAAAATCCAAAACAGGGAAACAGGAAAAAAAGGAGATAAAAAAACGACACTAAGTAGGGAAACCCTCGGGAGTTTTCAAAAAAAAAGGGCAGAAAACTCCCATACGCTGAATCTAATTCAGCATTAGAAAATCCCCGACCCGTGCCCGTAAAAACAGGGTTTCCAGTACAAATTAGGGCAGAAAACTACAGCTCGGACCGAGTTTCTCCGAGTGTCTGGGGAGACCCCACAACCCCAGTACAACGTCGAAAATCAAAAAATTTTAGGCCCATTTTTTGAACAGAGTTAACAGAAAACCCAACCCAAAAAGGGAAAACGACCCGAGAGGGTTTTTCCAACAAGGGCCCACAAGGTAGAGCTGGTGTGGGACCTCTTGTTAGAAGCAACGTCCAACAGACAATCTCGCGCAGGCCAGGCAGACTACTCTAGGTGAAGTGTCATCACCCCCCTGATCACATGACTCTTCGTGGATTGCTGCTGCCCAGCAACACAGAAACTGGCAGCATAACGAGCAAAGCAATTGTTAGACAAAGCCATCAGCTACTTAACACTCGAACTATGAGCACTGAATAATATATAAATGTTACATCTTACCTAATAATATAACTAAGTCAAATAATAATATAAAGCAATATATTTACAATTTAGCTAATATCGCAAATATAAGCAATATATGAACAGGTAATATACATTATGCACATTGTGACCCATTCAGGGGTTGCAACAGAGACCATATCTATTCTGCAGCTTCTTCTTCCACTCTTCTAAGTTAGATTTCCTTTATGATTAGGGTCTACAGTTATGCCTTGCTGCCTTTCATTCATCCCCTGTTGAAAGCCTCTATGCTGAAGTGAATGCTCCTTCATTAGCTAATCGCTGTAATGCTCAATGCCTTCGTTACTTTGTTCGTGCTCATGACCTTCGTGTTCTGTCTACATATAGGTTGGTCTCAGACGTTAGTAAAAGCCCATTATTTGTTGGACTCCCCTGCTTACTCTGACCGTTTTCTCTTCGTCTTCACTCACTCTGGTCCTCTCTCCAGTTACCTTCCTTCTGAAGGTTCGTGTCTGCTCTCTCCTACTGCCATGTGCCAAAGCTATCCTACCTATAACTGCTCACTCTCTTTTTCTTGATCATTTATGGTCGCATTCTCATGCCGTTACTGTTTATACAGATGATTCTAAATCTTCTGACAGTGTTGGGATGGTGGCGGTGTTCCCTGACGATGTTATCTGAGTTCATTTGTTAGACTCAGCTAGTATTTTTACTGCTGAGTTGTATGCCCATCTTCTGTCAGACATGCACCATAACAAATTGCACTCTATTTAACCGCTTTTAGGTTTGTGGCCATCTTCTTACCACCATTGCCATGCTCGGGAGACTGTGCTCTCCCATCTCTGCATCGGCCATACTCGCCTTACCCATGGGCATCTCATGGAACGACACCCTATTTCTCTCTGTGAGATTTCTTCACTTTCTTGTAGATTACCCAGTTTACCAGCGAGCTCGCAGGATTTACCTCCAACGCTTCCGCCTCCCTACCACTCTTACCTTATCTTCTCTTCTTGCAGACGGCCCTGCCTTAGACTTATGATCACTTTTTTTACTTTTTGTCAGCAACTGCTTTGCTATACGAACTTTGACACAGCCCTTAGCGTCCCTTCCACCCCTTTTCTCCCCTCATCTCTGATTCCCTCTCCAACTAGCTGTTTATAGCCCCACCACTATTTTCTATCCTGCAACGCTGTATGACCCTTGTCGGTTTAGTGCTTCCTTTGATAATAATAATAATAATAATAATAATAATAATAATAATAATAATAATAATAATAATATTCCCCCCGAACTAAGACACAAAATAACAGTTTTCCGTTGTTGGAGTTGATGTTTACGTAAATTACCATCTTACACTTCAATAACAACAACACGACGATGATAAACTACACAAATGAATCTGATCACAATGAACTGCCACTATAATACCGAAACATCTTATAATACACAGTAATCCATGTTCTTACCCTCCGTGGAAATCATCTCTTGAATTCTCTATAAGGAATCAAAGCCTTAATCCTCCGTCGAATTCAAGCCCCAATCCTTCATGGGAATCAGGGCCCAGGTACTTCATCAAAATCGAGCCATAATTCGCCGTGAGAATCGAGGCCCTAATTCTTCGTAGGAAATCTATGCTCTCATACTCCATACAGAATCGAGGTTCTAATTTTGCGTGTGCCCGAGAAAGTGGAAACCTTACCTGGAGATACAAGATGCTCGAGGCTTGTGGCTGGTCAACAAGACCGTAAACAATCTCTTCATCGTCTTTCTCAGCGGCGAATGTACCGAAGAGCCGGTCCCAGATGATAAGGAAGCCTCCGTAGTTCTTGTCTAAACAGTACTTGTTGGCCCCTGTGGGAGAGGCCGTGTGTGAGGTAGATTATTATTCGTGTCATTATCATTGATTTTACTACTGTTGTTGCAACTACTCCTACTGTTGTTACTGCCTTCATCTATTTATACTTCTATTTATATTGTTACTGCTACTACTACTAATACCAATGCTTCTTCAACAGCTGCTATTACTACTCTTATATTCTAGTGCTATCATTTTTTCTTTATAAATCCGAATTTATTCAACTTGAACTCATGGTCGCGAGTTCTGGTTAACTTTGATATTAATATCAGCTTATTCATAAGTTCCATTCACCTATGTGCGGGTTATTTGTGTATTATTCCAGTCACGGTATTGCCTTTTCATTCTTTATTATTTTATTTATTTCATTTTGTAACATTTTCTGTATTCTCAAAAAAAGAAAAAAAAAGAATAGAAAGTGTTTACCGATGTCGTTGTTAATAGCAGCTGTAGCTTTGATTACATTAACACTCCTATCCTCCAGGTTCAAGAGCTCTTAAGATTTATAGTACCAGTTGTTCATGCATCCCCAGACGCATCATCGCCATGCGTTAACCTCCCTCCGAGGCGAGGGGATCCGGGAACCAGTCGGGGTCCACATATCAGGACCTTCAGGGTGTTTCCCAAGGTCTCCTGGTTCCTCGTTAAATTTATCTCTTGGATGTGAAATTATTGCGACTCAGTTGACTAGAATGCGACCCGCCTTTGACTTTTCTTTTTTTTTAATTTAATAACTAGCACAAATTAAACCCTTGTATATTGAACTGTTTTTCTGTTCAACTTTTTATTACTGCTTAAAAATCTAATGTTGTTCATAACTAATAGTCAGTATCTCACCACATGTTACCAAAAACCTACCACACTGATAGCTGGTCACGTGGCCCAATACAGGAAAACTCGAGCACTGCTGTTCCATTTCTATATATTTATCTCTTACCTGCATGCAAATTCGGTCTACAACCTCAGGTGCCAGACCCTGAGTTCTGTTACCTTGTTAATATTAAAGTCTCTTAAAACAATGAACTGGATTATCTCCCGTTCTTTAGACTCTGTATGACTCCCTCGAGTTCAGCTCTCTCCTATGAATATAATAACAATTATAACGATAAGTATCATTATTCTCTTTATTTCTGGCTTCATACTGTTGAAAGACTCCAATCCCTCTTCCCCAAGCTCGTTAGTGGAGATTTGTGGAATTGGTCATGCTGAGAGATGGTAATTCTCAGGTAACAGTAACTTCAGCTCTGCTGGAAGAATCTCTGAAGCTGCCATTGCTGCTGAATTCCTAGTACAATGCATGGCGATATCCTCGTCGCTCTACTGAAGTATCCTAAATTATGTTGACACTTTTCCTTACTTTATGCATAACGCCCATCTTGTGTGATGGAATATGACAGAAAATACACCAAGAATTTCTTCCCACAATGTAACTATCATGTAGAGTTGGATACCTGCATACTGCGAGTTTCCACAATGGAATTGTCATAATGAATTGAGCAGCAACACATTGTGGGTGTTGCCATAATGAAGGGACGGAGCTAAGAGACAGGGGAGACTCAAAACTAGTCTCCTGCCCCCCCCTCCCTTCCCTATAAGCCAGAATAATGCTGCTTCAAAACTAGTCTCCTGCCCTTTTCACTATCAACCAGACAGCCACCGCTGAGCTAGTATGGAAATTTTGGCGCTGTTAGTCACAAAGCATCTGTTACAAAGAAGAACACCGCACACTTTGGGTGTTCCTACCGTGTGACTTCCACCTGGAATAGTGTAGCAACACACAGAGGGTGTGTCAGTTTTCATAAATTAAAAAAAAAAAATGATCTTGGTGTAGTGCTGGAAGCAAGTATCAGTTAAGGAGTGTATCGTACAAGGGAACTAGCAATTGGTAACTCATAATGGGTTTGGTGGTAGGCGGTGTTTACGTGTGCTTTTGCCTAGCAGTTATTATGCTCTCCAGGGATCTATTGTGTGGGTTGCTGCGTCATGGCCTCAGGAACCTATTGTGTGGGTTGCTGTTTCACGGTCACCCGTGTGATGGTCCTCTGCGTCATGGTCCTCGTTTATCCTCTCTTCTCTGTTCATCGACAAATTGTGAAAATAAAAAAAAATGCTTACGAGGGTTTGAAAAACATTGAGTACGAAGACCTGTGTGATAGTGCCTGGAAAAACAAACTGACGAGATTGTCAGAGTCTTAAGGGACAAGAGACGCCTTTGAGGGAGGGATCGAGATGCCTTGATAATGGTGAAAAGCTTTTGATCCAAAGATTTAAAACTACGCTCCCTTTCCTAGGATCAAAGTTAATTTGCCTACCATTCCTCAGGCGCTGTATAACCCCTAATGGTGCTGCGCTTCCACAAAATATACAGGGACGACAGTTTTCACGAGACAAGTAATTTATCTGTTTCAAAGTTAACACAATCAACGATTTTTTTTAAATAAACTGTAAGATAATAACTATTCTGAAAATATCAAGGTGGCAGCAAAGTAATACCAACCACAGAGAGATAAAACTGACGTCTTACATTATCAAAATCTTTGATGGAGTTTAATAATGCAAGGTTACTAACCACATTGCTAACCACAACTGTTTCACAACCCAGGTCAGCAGTGGTTTACAGCAGGTCGCTCCTGCCTTAAGTAACTACCTGGTCACTACGACATACATGGTCTTTGATGCTTTGGGAGACAAACAAAACGAGGATGAGTGTACGTATCTTGGTTAAAGACTTCGACATGTGCGATGATGGTGCAGCAAAAATGTGCGTTAAGGGAAAAATTAGAAAAGGGTGCAGACGGATTTTTAACTTTCTAACAAATAGAACGCAGAGAGTAATAGTATGCAGAGTTAAGTCAGAGGATAACACAGTGAAAAGCTCTGTTCCCCAAGGCACAGTAGTCACCTTCACCCTTTTCCTCATCCTTATATCCAACATAGACAGAAACATAAATCATAGTACTGTCTTCCTTTGCACACGATACTAGAATCCACATGAGAGTGTCATCCATTGAGGACACTGCAAATCTCCAAGCGGATATACATCCCACGTCTTCCAATGGGCAGCAGAAATCAATGATATTCAATGAAGACAAATTTCAGCTGCTCCTTTATGAAAAATTTGAGAAAAAATGGAACAGAGTGAAAATTAACTCCAATGTCCTTCATTAAGGTGAAGGACATTGGAGTGATAATGTCAGAGAATCTCACTTTCAAGGACCACAACGAGAACATTGAAAACATGAGATAAGAACATAAGAACATAAAGAAGGAACACTGCAACAGGCCTACTGACCCATGCGGAGCAGGTCCATGTCCCCCCCCGGATTAGACCAATGACCCATCCCCCCCCGGATTAGCCCAATGACCCACCCAGTCTGATCATCTCCACTCAAGGATGGAGCACTGCACCAGACCCAGCAGCACAAGTTAGTCAGGGCCAACTCACACCCACCCACTCCCACTCATGTATTTATCTAACCTATTTTTAAAACTACACAACGTTTTAGCCTGAATAACTGTACTCGGGAGTTTGTTTCACTCATCCACAACTCTATTACCAAACCAGTGCTTTCCTATATCCTTTCTGAATCTGAATTTTTCCAACTTGAAACCATTGCTGCGAGTCCTGTCTTGGCTGGAAATTTTCAGCACGCTATTTACATCCCCTTTATTTATTCCTGTTTTCCATTTATACACCTCGATCATATCCTCCCTAATTCTACGCCTTTCGAGAGAGTGCAGATTCAGGGCCCTTAGATTCAGATGCTAAGCTAATGAAAGTCTTCTGTTCTCTCTAGGCTGGAATGTTGCTTTTCATTAACATCTTTCAGGCGAAATTGCAGATCTGGAGAACGTACAGAGGATCTTCACTATACATATAAATTCAGTCCAGCACTGAAATTACTGGGAACGTTTGAATTTGTCCGCCTGTACTTTTCGGATCGCTGGCAAAAAAGATATATCATAATTTACACCTGGAAAATTCTAGAGGGATAGACTTCGAATCTGCTCATAGAAATCACTCGTTTCGAAAGCCAGAATCTCGGCAGACAGTTCAAAATACCACAGTATTGCCATGAATAGTAGTGCCATGAATATACAAAAAACAAAACACAGTAAGTGTAAGAGGCTCAAGGTTTTCAACAGTTTCCCTCTCTCTCTCTCTCTTCTTATCCCTCCCTCTCTGTCTACCTGTCTGTCTGTCTTTCTCTCTCTCCCTCTCCTCCCTCCTTCTGAATGTCTGTTTTTTTCTCTCTCTCTCTTTCTCTTTCTCTATCTATCTTCCACATACCGTGATGGACGCGGTGGTGGGACGGGGTGTTGATGATCCACTCTAGAGGTCCACACTTGCCGATGAGTTCTGTGTGGATGATGAATTGCACCAGGAGGTTGAGGTTGAAGTGGACGCAGATGGCCGGGAGGGGCACACCCAGCAGGGCCATGGGCTGGTAGAAACCCAGGGCACACAGCTGCTGGAACATAGACTGACGGAGGCCCACAGTCAGGTTGTATTCTTCATGAGAGTGATGTACTTGATGCCACGACCAAATGAAGCTCACCTCTGTCAACATTACTATTATCATTATGATGATGCTGTATAGGAAAGGAAGAGGTGAGGTAACATGTAGCTGAGTGACACAACCAAGAAAACCTGGGTTCGATCCCTAGATGTAGTTAGACGTATGGGTAATACAAGATATAGATAAGGATATGTTGGGATTGTTAACTTGGCGTGTTAGCTGCCCAGTGTAACCCAGTGAAGTCATCGGCTTCCTTACACATGCATTTTTGATTGTAATAATAATTTTTACACATATTATGTGTATTCACCTAGCAGTAATGAGGTACTTGATAGCAAGGAAACCACGATATTTAGCTTTGGTTAACTTGGGTTAAGAATCCAATGGAGTGTTCTCCGTATGCTTGTCTCAAAAGCAATAATATTCTGCATACGACAATGTATGCTTCAAGGCAGGACTTGAAGCAAGAAATGTCAAAGACATATATTAGAGATATCGAGTTGAAAGAGGAAATTATGATAACAAAAAGCAATGTGTTTTAGATACACTCAGTGGCGGCCTCTGTCGGGGCTCGATCTGGTAGTGAATAGTGAAGTACACACCTCCATTACTGAAGCTTTTAAGCAAGTACCTAATCGAGTTTTTTTTTTATTAGCTTTTAAGAGATATTAAATACAAGGGATAAATAGCAGACTAACAAAACTTATCAGTTTTGGGAAAAAAATTGAATCAAACAGAAATAGACGAAACAAAGCGTTAGGATCAAATACTTGTCAGAAGAACGTGTAGAAGAACGAACCTGACAACTCAGGACATTTTTGGGGGGACTTTAATAAAATAACGAAAATTACTAGGAAACGTGCACACGCACAAAGACACACACACACACACACACACACACACACAGGGAGGCAACAACGAGTCATGGTACGTGACGAGGTGTCAGAGTGGGCGCCTGTGACAAGTGGGGTTCCACAGGGGTCAGTCCTAGGACCTGTGCTGTTCTTGGTATATGTGAACGACATAACGGAATCAAATCGGATGAGGATCAGACAGGACTACAAAGAGACCTGGACAGGCTACAAGCCTGGTCCAGCAACTGGCTCCTTGAGTTTAACCCTGCCAAATGCAAAGTCATGAAGATTGGGGAAGGGCAAAGAAGACCGCAGACACAGTATAGTTTAGATGGCCAAAGACTGCAAACCTCACTCAAGGAAAAAGATCTGGGGGTGAGTATAACACCGAGCATATCTCATAAGGCGCACATCAATCAGATAACTGCTGCAGCATACGGGCGCCCGGCAAACCTACAGATAGCGTTCCGATACCTCAGTAAGGATTCGTTCAATACTCTGTATACCATTTACGTCAGGCCCATACTGGAGTATGCAGCACCAGTTTGGAATCCACACCTAGTCAAGCACGTCAAGAAATTAGAGAAAGTGCAAAGGTTTGCAACAAGACTAGTCCCAGAGCTACGGGGATTGTTCTACGAAGAAAGGTTGAGGGAAATCGGCCTGACGACACTGGAGGACAGGAGGGTCAGGGGAGACATGATAACGACATATAAAATACTGCGCGGAATAGGCAAGGAGGACAAAGACGGGATGTTCCAGAGAAGGGACACAGAAACAAGGGGTCACAATTGGAAGTTGAAGGCTCAGATGAATCAAAGGGATTTTAGGAAGTATTTCTTCAGTCATAGAGTTGTCAGGCCGTGGAATAGCCTAGAAAGTGACGTAGTGGAGGCGGGAACCATACATAGTTTTAAGGCGAGGTATGATAAAACTCATGGGGCAGGGAGAGAGAGGACCTAGTAGCAATCAGCGAAGAGGCGGGGCCAGGAGCTATGAATCGACCCCTGCAACCACAAATAGGCGAGTACAAATAGGTGAGTACACATATGCTTGCTGCATACTTGGCTCGCGTCCAGCCTCGGAGGAGCTGGTGGAAATTCATGGTCTTTAATACATTGTGCCATTGTATTCATGTTTATGTTTTTTCTGTAAATGTATTCTGTTTATTAATAAATGTTCACATAGAATATAAAATATGTAGGGGGTGGTAGGAGAAGAAAATATTCAAACAGCTCCGGGGAGAACCTTGAGTTTTCCCTGAGGTACGTTTATTGTCTTCTCTGAGGATGAGGGTCCCCATTCCAGCTATAGAGGGGGTATTTCCCCTATATATTTTGTATAAAGTTTATATAATAATTATAATTATATATATTAATATATATATTATAATATTTTATAAATATATAATATTTAATATATTAATATTATATATATAATTTTTTGGGTAGTGGTTTGTTAGGAAAAGCACTAGCAACTTAGGTATCTTTATTTCGAAACTTTTCCCCTAACAGTAGGTTTCTTCAGTCGAGTACAGAAAATTTGATAGAAGCAGAAGATATTAAAGACGATGTAATCGCCCATCCCCCTTAAAGTTTTGAGGGGGCAGTCCCTCAGTCGGAGAAGAGCATTGTTCCGTTGTCTGAAACAATATGAAGTTGAAGTGACAGAATGGGTTTATTAGTGCCGGAGGGGAGACGTGGGTTGCTTTGGGGGGGCAGGTCCCCCTAAACCCAGCCGTCTCATGTAGGGGTTTGTCAAAGTTGATGGTTGTCCAAGATCCCTTTTTGCAGTGTCTGACAGAAAAACATTAAAAGGGGTATAAAATACCGACAATTTTTAGGTAAGACACATATGCAACGTTAGGATTGTCAGCATGCAACAAAAGGGTATTTTGGGTACAGACCATCAACTTCGACAACCTTACTATGAGAAGGGCTGGGTTTGAAGGCCCTGCCCTCCCAAAGCAACCTACGTTCACCTCCTGGACTATTTTTAAAGGGCCCCCATTTGTCACTTAACTTATTTGTTTCGCAACGAAAAAATGCTCTTCTCCAATGGGGGACTGACCCCCTCAAAACTTTAAGGGTGTGGATGATTACTCGTTTTTCAGTATCTTCTGCTTCTATAAACTTTTCTGTACTGACTGAAAACCCTATGTTAGGCGAAACTTTTCGAAATAAAGAACCTAACTTTTTGCATATGTTCTTACCTAAAAATCTGTCGGTATTTTATCCATTTTAATTTCGGGTAGTAGTTGGTAGACGCAACCCCCCGGGGAGGTACTCCCGCCTGTAAGTGAGTTTTAAAACGAAAGCCTGTAATTGTTTTACATGATGGTGGGATTACGGGTGTCCTTTTTTTCTGTCTCATGAACAGAAAAAATTTCAGGAAGTCGCTATTTCTATTACACTCAGGTCCCTACACATCAGTAAAAGCGTAAATATAAACCCCTCTGGGTTTTCTTCTATTTTTTTTTAAGTTCTTGTCTTGTTTTTTCCTCTTTTTCCAGGGGGAAGGGAACAGAATTCTTCCCCTGGGTCATGGTGTTGAAGAGGGACTAAAAGCGGGGAAAGGGGGCTAGTAACCCCTTTCTGTTATTTACAAAATTTGAAAGGAGAAATTTTGGGTTTTTTTTCTTTTTGGGCCACCCCCCTTGGGGGGTTACGGCCGGGGGGTTTTAAAGAAAGATTAAAATTATATATATATTATATATATTATATATAATAATATTTTTAAAATATATATAAAATATATAATATATATATATTAATATTAATATATAATTATAAATCGTGCCGAATATGAAAAAATGGTCAATTAGCAAGAACTCTTTAAAAAATTAATACTTTCTAAAAATTTTTTTTTCCCCAAAAGAATCTTAAAAAACTTCCCTAACTTATTATAACAAGAACAATTTATTTTACCCAACTCAACTAAAAAATTTTTTAGATTTATTTACGATAATTTAATACTAAACAAACATAGTGAAATTATTTTTTTCGTTGGTTCAAAATGATTTTGGTGAAATTATTGCTACAAAAATTTTCCGCTTGTCCTATATGGCAAGATGAGCGTTGCTATTTAAGCCAAGATCGAAAGTCTGCCCTTTCGGCACGAAATATATATATACAGTGCAAACCCGGGTTTTCTGTCCTACCCGGGTTATCGCACAATTCATTTTCAACCATTTTTTGGGGAAAAAATTTTCCCCCTGTTTCGTAAATCTGCCCGGAAAACAGGATACCTTAAATCGTTCTCTTACTGGCATTCGATGCTCGTTCAGGCGAACCGAAAGTCACTCCCTTTTTCGTTGGGCAGAGACCCCCCGGTTCGCCTGAAAGAGAACAAGTACCATAACAGAGCGATTTAAGGTATGCTTGTGTCCTCCCAAAGATTTACGGGCCCTTTTGATGGACGGGATGAGGACAATCGTTCCGCCGAAAAAAACCTTGACCCGCGGTGTCAAAAAAAACCTCGCAAATCGCCGTCCCGACACAACAGAACGTAACACTGGAAACCAAAAAATTTCAAAAACTTAGCATACTGATGAAAAATTAAACACATGTGCAACTTGGGTATCTTTTTTGAGGAACGTTTCCCCACTGTGGGGGCAAAACGTTTCCTCAATAAAAAACCAAGAGTTGACATGTTGTTGGGTAAGACACATATCAACATTTTTAGGTATCTTTATATAAAACGTTTCGCCTCACAGTAGGTTCTTCAGTCAGTACAGAAAAGTTGATAGAAGCAAAGAACTTGAAGACGAGTAATCAGTCCTCCCCCTTAAAATTTTTGAGGGGCCCCCTCAGTCTGGAGAAGAGCATTGTTCCATAGTTGAAAAAAATAGGAAAGAAGTGAAGGGTTGGAGTTTTTATGGCCCCAAGGGTGAGATAGGAGGGGTAAAAAACTCAGATTTTTGAGAGGTCCCTCTAAAACCCAAAGCCCTCTCCTAGTGGAAGTTGTCGAATTTGTTTTGCGGTCTGTACCAAGATCCCCTTGTGTTGCAGTGTCTGACAGATTGAACTTTAAAAAATGGTATAAATACCGACAGGTTGTTAGGAAAGACACATATGCAAATTTAGGTATTTTTATGAATTTTCCCCTAAAAGTAGGTTCTTCAGTCAAGTACAGAAAAAAAAGGTAAAAAATACCGACAAAAAAAAGGCAATATAAAACACAAATGCAGTAAAATTTTCCTTTTTGACTACTTTCCCCCACCAGTGGGTTTTTTTCAAGTCCAAAAGAACTACCTGGGGTGGAAGGAACGCGATATTTATAGTCCGGCGAGGTAGGTGAAGAATGCTGCATCTGTGAAGTTTTTGTCGCTTCTTTTTCAAGCTCCCAAGACAAGCCAACCAGGTCGAGCCTTAAATCCAGTTCACACTTGAAAAGAAGTCGAAAACACTTTTCCCTTTCCTTGATGTTTACCTGCAAAGGACCACAAACTTCTTTTTAAAATCACGAAAACCCCCCCCAACCAAAACGATCTTCTCCACTTTATCCCCCCAACGACACCAAAAAAAAAAACGTGGTGAATTTTAGGCTTCTTCCTGCGGGATCAGAATCTGCGCAACGATTTCCCCTTGAGGAAGAATGCATTAATGAACAAGTATTTTCCAAACTCCACTACCTCGTCATTTCCCAAAGACTGCAGACGGCGAGCATTAAACATCTTCAACACACCAGGAAGCACTCCCGAGAAGAGATACATAGTCCTTCCCACCAACCCCTTGCCAAACATTTTTCCAACATCTTTGCCAAAACATATTCCAAATATCACTCCACAACCACGACCATCAAGGAATACCATTGTAGGCAGGAAAGCCTCCATCCCCTCAGGGGTTTTATAATCCCCCTTTTAAAGATGCAAAAAGTTATCGTGGGCGAAACATCAAGGGACCTCCAAACACGTTTTCAGAAAACCAATACGCAAGCAGGGTTGACGACACAAAATGCCTGCGTACAACACCGTAATTCAAAACCACTTGATAAACTACAGAAATCAAGACTTATCGCCACAGAAGACAACACTCAATACCGAAGAATCCTGGAAAAACATCACTTATTTCTATATCCGACAATTCAACCAAAAATGGCTTCTATAAAATAGCGAACCATTGCCAAAAAACTTCTTATCGTATCCCACATAAAACACTGTAAAGGTTTTTGCTCCAAATTATCCCAAATTTTTTCCAAAACACCCAAGTTTTTAAATCTTTGCCCCACTCGGTACATCACAGATGCAGCATTCTTTACCTGACCTCAGCCCGGGCATAAAAATCCGTTCCTTCCCCCAGGTAGTTTTTTTGTGACTTGAAAAAGCCACTGTGTGGGCGAAACGTGTCAATAAAGGATACATATATGCATTTGTGTTTATATTGCCCAAGTACAGAAAAAAATTGATAGAACAGAAGATCTGAAAACGATGTAATAGTCCATCACCCCTTAAAATTTTGAGGTGGTCAGTCCCCCAGTCTGAGAAAGCATTGTTCCATATATGAAACAATATGGAGAAGAAGTGAAGGATGGAGCTTTTTTTGGCAAGAGGTGAACTGGAGAGTAAGAACTCAGAGTTGAGAGGTCCCTCTCAAATCCAGCCCCTCTCACTGTGGAAGTTGTCGAAGTTGATTGCAGGTCTGTACAAAATACCCTTGTGTTGAGTGTTTGACAAATTGAACATTTAAAAAGGTAAAAATCCCACGGTTGTTAGGTAAGACCATATGAAAAAGTTAGGTATCTTTTTATGAAAAGTTTTGCCTACACAGTGGGTTCTTCAGTCAAGTAAGAAAAATTGATAGAAGACGTTGTAAACAGTCCATCACCTTAAAGTTTTTAGGTGGCATCCCCCAATTGGAAAAAGAGCTTGTTCCATAGTATGAAAATATGGAGAATGACGGATGGAGCTTTTTAAGGGCCAAAGGTGAGACGTAGGAGAGGTAAAAACTCAGATGTTGGAGGGCCCTCTCAAATCCCGCCCCTTCACTAGTGGAAATTGTCGAATTGATTGCGTCTGTACCAAATACCCCTTTTGTTGCAGTGTCTGACAGTTGAACATTAAAAAGGATAAAATACCGAAGGGTTTTTAGGTAAAAACATATGCAAAAGTTAGGTTTCTTTATTATGAAAAGTTTCGCCCCAAAGGGCTTCTTAGTCAAGTACAGAAAAAATTGTAATAAAGTTGGTAGAATTTCGACAATATGTAAATAAAAGGACACAAGTGCAACTAATGGACATTTTTGTGGCAAGTTCGCTCTCCAGGAGCTTTATCAAACCCGGCTTGATAAAGCTCCGGAGAGCGAAACTTGCCAAATAAAAAGTCACAAATTAGTTTACTTGGTCCTTTTCTTTAAAATACAGAAAAATTGATAGAAGCAGGATACTTTAAGGATGTAATCAGCCATCACCCCTTAAAATTTTGAGGTGGCAGTCCCCCATTGGAGAAGAGCATTGTTCCATAGTATGAAACAATATGGAAAGAAAATGACAGGGGGAGCTTTTTATGCGCCAAGGGTGAGACGTAGGGGAGGTAGAAACTCGATGTTGAGAGGCCCCCCCCAAAAACCAGCCCCCCCCACTAGTGGGGAAATTGTCAAATTTATTGCAGGTCTGTACAAGATCCCCTTGTGTTGCAGTGTCTGACAGAAATTTAACATTAAAATGGGATAAAATACCGAAGGGTTTTTAGGTACTTTATTAATGTTCAATCTGTCAGACCTGCAACACAAGGGTATTTGGTAAGACCCCCAATCAAATTCGACAACTTCCAAATAGTGAGAGGGGCTGGATTTGAGAGGGACCTCTAACATTTGATTCTTACCTCCCTTTGCTCACCCTTGGGCTATAAAAAAACTCCTCCGCACTTCTTCTCCATATGTTTCAAACTATGGAACAATGCTCTTCTCCCCGACTGAGGACTGCCACCTCAAAAATTTAAGGGTGATGGATGATTACATACTTCAAATATCTTATGCTTCTATCAACTTTTTTTGTACTTGACTGAAGAAGCCTACTGTGTAGGGGAAAAAGTTTATAATAAAAACCCAACTGTTGATATGTGTCTTACCTAACAACTGTCGGTATTTTTATCCCTTTTTAAAGTTTAAAATGTCAGAACTGCAAACAAGGGTTCTGGTACAAAACCTGCAATAACTCGACAAATTCTACTAGTGAGAGGGGGTGGATTTTTAGAGGGGCCCCTCAAATCTGAGTTTTACCTCTCCTACGTTCACCTTTGGCGCTATAAAAAGCTCCATCCCGCACTTCTTTTCCATATTGTTTCATTTTACTATGGAACAATGTCTTCTCCAGACTGAGGGGCTGCCACCCCAAAACTTTTAAGGGGGGATGGATGATTTCATCGTCTTCAAATATCTTCGTTCTATCAACTTTTTGTACTTGATGAGGAAGCCTACTTGTAGGCGAAACGTTTCATAAAAAGATACCTAACGTTGCATAGTGTTTACCTAAAAAAACCGTCGGTATTTTATACCCTTTTAATGTTCAATCTGTCAGACACTGCAACACAGGGTATCTTGGGGACAGACCTGCAATCAAAATTCGACAAATTCCCCTGTGAGAGGGCTGGGTTTGAGGGACCTTTTCAAACTGAGTTCTTACCTTACTACGTCTCACCTTTGGCGCTATAAAAACTCCCCCTGTCACTTTTTCCATATTTTTCATACTATGGAACAAAGCCTTCTCCAGACTGAGGGATGACCACCCCAAAAAATTTTAAGGGGAGGCTGTTAAAACGCTTCAAGTATCTTCTGCTTCTATCAACTTTTTTGTACTTTTAATGAAAAGCCTCTGTGTAGGCGAAAACGTTTCATAATAAAGATACCTAACGTTTTCATATTGTCTTACCTAACAACTGTCGGTATTTTATACCATTTAATGTTCATTGCACAGTGTTAATTATCAAAGTGTCGGTTCTCTGAACACTGATCTACAACCATTCATCAAATATTTCTTCTACATGCTCCCTATATATACCCTCTGTGTCCATTCTGTTTGTAACGGCTTGACAAATTTTCCCGGAGACGAAACGTTGCCACAATTAAAAATTGTTGCATTTTTTGTATTTTACTTAATATAAGAACATTTCAAATCGAGTGTGAGGACTGAAGAATATGTCACAAAAACCGTAGCGCAAAGTTCATAAAAAACTGAACTTAGCCACCATTCGTCTGCGCCATTATCATTGTCGAGACAGCGATGATGACCCGGATGAATCGAAAAGTCCAAACTGTCAGTTATCTGTAACTAAATTGAGCTTTTAAACCGTGGGGAAAAGTGCAAAGTGTGGGGTTATTTATTTTACAAACACTAAAATTTGGGTTTGTTTTTCAAACTTTAGAAACGTCCAAGTGTGATTTATCTGTAAAAAACACCCATAAATGTGTGCTATCTGTGTTTATAATCCATAAGAAACGCCCATAAATGTGTTATCTGTGCTTACAATCCATAAGAAACGCCCATAATTTTGTGTTATCTGTGTTTACAATCCATAAGAAACGCCCATAAGTGTGGGCTATCTGTGTTTACAGTCCATAATAAACACCCATAAGTGTGGGCTATCTGTGTTTACAATCCATAAGAAACACCCATAAGTGTGGGCTATCTGTGTTTACAGTCCATAATAAACACCCATAAGTGTGGGCTATCTGTGTTTACAATCCATAAGAAACACCCATAAGTGTGGGCTATCTGTGTTTACAGTCCATAATAAACGCCCATAAGTGTGGGCTATCTGTGTTTACAGTCCATAATAAACACCCATAAGTGTGGGCTATCTGTGTTTACAATCCATAAGAAACACCCATAAGTGTGGGCTATCTGTGTTTACAGTCCATAATAAACACCCATAAGTGTGGGCTATCTGTGTTTACAATCCATAAGAAACACCCATAAGTGTGGGCTATCTGTGTTTACAAACCGTGGGATGCTCGATGGAACCAATAGTGGACGAAGTCCGCCGCCAGGAACCCTGCCCACCAGGCTGCCGGAGAGTTCCACGGGATGTCGAAGAAGCGGTACTGATAGATCCAGAGGTAACCAGACATCTCGAACCATTTGGTGAGCAACCTGCAACCGCCAGGACACTCGTTAGTCAGGGATCCTCTGGGATGGAAGGGGAGGATGCTTTAGGGAAGGACTCTTGTTCCAAGGCACTGGAGCTTGTCTCCCCTTCCTCTACGGATAAAATCTAGTTAGTTACCATTCCCTGGGAGCTGTATGGTCTCTACATCTGCTACTATTACTACTACTATTAATAATAGTAATAATCATAATAATAACAACAGTAACAGTAATGACAATAATAATAATAATAATAATAATAATAATAATAATAATATAATGGAAATAAATGGTATAAAATACCGACACAATGAAAATATAAACACATAAGCAGCATGGAAATAAATGGTATAAAATACCGACACAATGGCAATATAAACACAAATGCAGTATAATGTGATCCTTTATTGACTACGTTTCGCCCACACAGTGGGCTTTTTCAAGTCACAAACAGAACTACCTGGGGTGGAAGGAACGCGAGTATTTATAGTCCGGCTGAGGTCAGGTGAAGAATGCTGCATCTGATGATGTACCGAGTTGGGTTGTAGAGTCTAAAAACTTGGGTAGCTTGGAAAGGAGACTGGACAAGTTTGTGAGCAGACCTTCTACAGTGTTCTTATGTGGGATAGCGATGAAGAAGTTTCTTGGCAAGTGGTTCAGCTATGTTATAGAAGCACTATTCTGGTTGAAGTTGTCGGATATAGAAATAAGTGATGATTCCAGGATTCTTCGGTATTGAGTGTTGTCTTCTGTGGCGATAAGTCTTGAGTTTCTGTAGTTTATCAAGTGGTTTGTGTGAATTACGGTGTTGTACGCAGGCATTCCTTGTGTCGTCAGACCTGCTTGCGTATTGGTGTTCTGAAATACGTGTTTGGAGGTCCCTTGATGTTTCGCCACGTATAACTTGTTGCAGTCATTACAAGGGATTATGTATACCCCTGCAGAGGATGGAGGCTTGTCCTGCCTACTACTGGTGATGTCCTTGATGGTCGTGGTTGTGGAGGTAGATACTTGGAATGATGTTTTGGCAAAGATGTTGGAAACATGTTTGGCAATGGAGTTGGTGGGAAGGACTATGTATCTCTTCTCGGCAGTGGTCTTCTCTGGGTGTGTTGAAGATGTTTAGTGCTCGCCGTCTGCAGTCTCTGATGAAGTGACGAGGATAGTGGAGTTTGGAAAATACCTGTTCAATTATAGTGCATTCTTCCTCAAGGAACTCGTTGCTGCAGATTCTGAGTGCACGCAGGAAGAAGCCTATAATTACACCCGTTTGGTTTTGGTGTCGTGGTGAGAGTAGAAGTGGAGAAGATCGTTTTGGTTGGTGGGTTTTCGATAGACTTTAAAACGAAGTTCGTGGTCAGCTTTGCAGAGTAGAACATCAAGGAAAGGAAGAGTGTTGTCGACCTCTTCTTCAAGTGTGAACTGGATTGAAGGCTCGACCTGGTTGAGCTTGTCTTGGAGAGCTTGAACGTTGAAGCGTTTAGGAGTTATGAGGAGAATGTCGTCAACATAACGGAGCCAGGTGACAGACGAAGGAATAATGGTGGAGAAACGTTCGGCTTTAGATGTTCCATGTATAGGTTCGCTAGGACTGCACTGAGTGGCGAACCCATGGGTAGTCCAAAAGTCTGCTGAAAGAGGTGATTTTCAAAAGAGAAACACGTAAAGCCAACACATAGTTCAAACCAGGTCGATGAAGTCGCTGGCTGGAATGGGAAGATCAAGTGAATCGTCAATTTTCTTGCGCAAGAGATCGATGGCTTGTTTAGTAGGTACTTTAGTGAATAGGGAAGTCACGTCAAGGCTGGAAAGTTTCTTGTTCCTGATGTTGATGTTGCGAATGCGATTGAGAAGATCACCTGAGTGTTTGAGATGTGCTGGACTGATAGTGCCCAAGAGTTTCGAGAGGTGTTTGGCGAGAATTCCTGAGAGCTTGTGGGGAGCACTGCCTATTCCGAGGATATGGGCCTCAGTGGGAATACCAGGCTTGTGAGTCTTTGGCAGGCCGTACATTCTGGCAGGTCTGGGGTTGCTGGGCATGGTGTGCAGAAGTTTCTTCCCTTGTTCTGAGCTCCTCAGAATGCGGCGAGTCCTTTGAAGAAAAGTTTTAGTAAGGTTGTCCACTTGGTTAGTTGTGAGAGGTTTGTAGGTATCTGGGTCATTAAGTAGATTGAGCATTTTGTTCCTGTAATCGTCAGTGTTCATGATAACAACACCACCTCCTTTATCAGCGGTGGTGACCCTGATGGTCGTGTCTTCTGCTAAACCTTTGAGTGCATTGATGTAACTCGCGTTCCTTCCACCCCAGGTAGTTCTGTTTGTGACTTGAAAAAGCCCACTGTGTGGGCGAAACGTAGTCAATAAAGGATCACATTATACTGCATTTGTGTTTATATTGCCATTGTGTCGGTATTTTATACCATTTATTTCCATCGTGTCAAACACTGCAGTAGAAATGGATCCTTCACACAGAGAATACCTGGACCTTCTCCTAAAAGCTTACTCACTTCGCAACAGACACATTTTTCTTCGTGACTGCATCCAAGAAATGGTCTTACCAAGATCTACTCCTCCTCAAATTGCCAACATCAAACCACCTTTCTCCGCTACAGCTCGGACCTACCTTGAAGAGTGTGCAGATGACTTAAACAATGCTACAAAGGAAGCTTTTCTCCAAGCCAGAACACTAGGCACAACACTCCGGGGCAACATGAACAGACGCACCGCCGAAATCATTCGCAGCAGAGTTACCACAGCGAATGTTCAACAGAAGATCAGACTTACTAGGAAACTACAAACACTCTGCGATAATAGTAATTGGAAAAGTTTAGGAAGACCTGAAATTATTCAAAATCTTTCATCTCGTCCACTGTCAACCACAGAAACTGAAACCTCAGCTTAGGCCTCAAATTCGCAACAGGAAATTACGAAACCAAAACAAGACCTCAATTTCATCGCCAAAAACTACAGACACAATGACTCCGACTTCCAAAAAGCTATCTTCAAGGCATCATCTCAGCAGCCATCTCAACACGCAGCTCCCCAGTCATACCCCGACGTTACATCAATGCACTCAAAGGTTTAGCAGAAGACACGACCATCAGGGTCACCACCGCTGATAAAGGAGGTGGTGTTGTTATCATGAACACTGACGATTACAGGAACAAAATGCTCATCTACTTAATGACCCAGATACCTACAAACCTCTCACAACTAACCAATGTGACAACCTTACTAAAACTTTTCTTCAAAGGACTCGCCGCATTCTGAGGAGCTCAGAACAAGGGAAGAAACTTCTGCACACCATGCCCAGCAACCCCAGACCTGCCAGAATGTACGGCCTGCCAAAGACTCACAAGCCTGGTATCCCACTGAGGCCATATCCTCGGGAATAGGCAGTGCTCCCCACAAGCTCTCAGGAATTCTCGCCAAACACCTCTCGAAACTCTGGGGCACTATCAGTCCAGCACATCTCAAACACTCAGGTGATCTTCTCAATCGCATTCGCAACATCAACATCAGGAACAAGAAACTTTCCAGCCTTGACGTGACTTCCCTATTCACTAAAGTACCTACTAAACAAGCCATCGATCTCTTGCGCAAGAAAATTGACGATTCACTTGATCTTCCCATTCAGCCAGCGACTTCATCGACCTGGTTGAACTATGTGTTGGCTTTTACGTGTTTCTCTTTTGAAAATCACCTCTTTCAGCAGACTTTTGGACTACCCATGGGTTCGCCACTCAGTGCAGTCCTAGCGAACCTATACATGGAACATCTAGAAGCCGAACGTTTCTCCACCATTATTCCTTCGTCTGTCACCTGGCTCCGTTATGTTGACGACATTCTCCTCATAACTCCTAAACGCTTCAACGTTTCAAGCTCTCCAAGACAAGCTCAACCAGGTCGAGCCTTCAATCCAGTTCACACTTGAAGAAGAGGTCGACAACACTCTTCCTTTCCTTGATGTTCTACTCTGCAAAGCTGACCACGAACTTCGTTTTAAAGTCTATCGAAAACCCACCAACCAAAACGATCTTCTCCACTTCTACTCTCACCACGACACCAAAACCAACGTGGTGTAATTATAGGCTTCTTCCTGCGTGCACTCAGAATCTGCAGCAACGAGTTCCTTGAGGAAGAATGCACTATAATTGAACAGGTATTTTCCAAACTCCCACTATCCTCGTCACTTCATCAGAGACTGCAGACGGCGAGCACTAAACATCTTCAACACACCCAGAGAAGACACTGCCGAGAAGAGATACATAGTCCTTCCCACCAACTCCATTGCCAAACATGTTTCCAACATCTTTGCCAAAACATCATTCCAAGTATCTACCTCCACAACCACGACATCAAGGACATCACCAGTAGTAGGCAGGACAAGCCTCCATCCTCTGCAGGGGTATACATAATCCCTTGTAATGACTGCAACAAGTTATACGTGGGCGAAACATCAAGGGACCTCCAAACACGTATTTAGAACACCAATACGCAAGCAGGTCTGACGACACAAGGAATGCCTGCGTACAACACCGTAATTCACACAACCACTTGATAAAACTAACAGAAACTCAAGACTTATCGCCACAGAAGACAACACTCAATACCGAAGAATCCTGGAATCATCACTTATTTCTATATCCGACAACTTCAACCAGAATAGTGGCTTCTATAACATAGCTGAACCACTTGCCAAGAAACTTCTTCATCGCTATCCCACATAAGAACACTGTAGAAGGTCTGCTCACAAACTTGTCCAGTCTCCTTTCCAAGCTACCCAAGTTTTTAGACTCTACAACCCAACTCGGTACATCATCAGATGCAGCATTCTTCACCTGACCTCAGCCGGACTATAAATACTCGCGTTCCTTCCACCCCAGGTAGTTCTGTTTGTGACTTGAAAAAGCCCACTGTGTGGGCGAAACGTAGTCAATAAAGGATCACATTATACTGCATTTGTGTTTATATTGCCACATAAGCAGCATAATGTGATCCTT